GTTCCCAAAAGTATTTCTTGGCTTATATTTTAATATTTCTGAGAACTATAAAAATGTAGATTGGACTTTAATAACTTGTGGCAATGTAAATAAACATGTTCAAAAATGGAAAAGTATGCTAATGTTCGTACTCATATATCTTCAGCTCAGGTTGGTTCCAAGCTGTGAGTATACAAATTAGGTTGTCTCATTTTTATGAACAAGATTCTTGTTGAGTTTAATTTATGTGTTGACCTATTTATGAGTCTATATATGATTAACTGATTTGCATGCCGTATAATTTTTATTGCTGCTTGGAATTTATGTACAGAATTGGCCTGGTTAGAAAATTATACAAATGCCAATGAGCGCTGACTCAATCAATCACAGTCACAATTTTAAAAAAAGGCTATAAATAACAACAATCAATTTAAAAATTTCATTAAATTTTCAACGTTTATTTTCTGCTGTTAGTTTTTGTTTGCGACTGGCTTATTGGCCTCGGCCCAAACTCATAAAATTGATTCGGGAGCTTTTTGATTGTTGAATGGATATCATAATTGCAATTGCAGCTTCATTGCGCTACATGGGATAGAGAAAGGAGGAGCGGCACGGGCTGGCATTATTCTATGACATTATTCTAGTGAGTGGAAAAAGACATCAAAATTATGTCCAAATGTCAATTTAATTACATGATGTGCACAATTTGCGTTTCAAAAATGTCGGTACAATGTGCGATAGTTCCTCTATTCACTCTTCCTGTGTTTACATGGTTTGTTTTTGTGCATGTGTGTGTGTGTGCTTAGTGTATGTGTGTGACTGTATGGGTTAATTTGATTTTAAATATGTAGCACTGGTTGGAGGTGTGGTGTTGCCACTGTCACCGTTGCTGTAAATATTGGTCTTGCTTTGGGTTTATTTTTCATTTGCGTTTAATAAACTGGCCGTGGCATTAATATTATGAATGCAACTGGCTGCAGCAGGAGCACTGACAGGTAGCCGCAGCAATTAACAGTTAAAAATAATTTGAAATGCAGCGACAATAAAGCGAGCGCATTTCATTAAAAATTCAAGTTAACTCAACAGTGTAACACACACAGACCACCTTTACACTTCACAGCAGCCCATTCCCCTCCGTCTCTGGCCACACACACAGACACGTTCACATAGCGAGAGTCAATGAGAAACACCGCAATTTAAAATTAGTAGAAGTTAAAGCGCAGCAACAACTGCAAAGAGGGTAATCATGGGTGGAGGAGGAGGAAAGGCGCACAAGCGGATATGTTAAGGATCCGCCACCAGATCTATTGTGATTAAAATGTCAAAGCTGAGGTCCCGCAGGCTAATAGAACACAATCAAATCACTCACACACAACTATTTTAGGGCGCTGACTTTGATAAAAAAATTGGCTTTGAATCAAATAGGTTTCGCATGCACTCAAAGTACAAAGTAAATTATCAGTCTACGCTCATAATTACATTTGTAATCTATACTTGGATAGCCCTTAGGGGCACATAAATCATATATATTGTAGTAGATAGCAGTACTAGATAGTAAGTATATAAGTATCATGTGCATTTAATTTATAATTAAACAAATTACCTAAGCTGTATCTGCGAATATTTGAATTTGCTTGGCATACATCATTGATGGCATCATTGTTGAACATTATTATTTCAATTGCTTAGATTTGTAACATTGATTTGAATAAGCATATTAAATTTACTAACTCTAACTCACACGTCCTCAGAGTATATTATTTGCTCCATATACAAGTTATGCTATACTCCTTGTACAAAAGATACTCTGCCAACTAAAGGCTGCTTTGTGTGTGGGATTGGGTGAGTTGGGTGGTGTTGGTATTGTTTTCCAGGAATTGTGCTTAACTGGCTGACTGCCTGACTTGTCGCTGTCGTCAGTGAAACTCAAAACGTGCAACTAAACTGCAACATTTTCAAGACAACTTGCCTCAGTGCTCACAAGCCCACTAGCATACCACCCCCACACGCCCACTTGCTGTAAGGCAGCCAAGAGAGCTGTGCTTCTTCCTGTGACAGTCATAGTAGTTCTGCTGCTCCGCTTCGGCATTCCTGTCAATTGCTCTTTATGGATAACAACAGCCAATGCCGCCAAACCAAGCCCAACGGCTCCACCTCTTCCCTTTGCAGTTGTCTCTTGGGTACTTTATGGGCCTTTAAGCGTACGGACCAAGCGGCTTAAGTGGGCTGTTAGGGGCTTGTTAACTTTATTGATACCCACGCCGATCGAACGTTGCCTCAGTAATGCCAGCGAGATAAAAGAGTGGCACACACACACACGAAGAGAGAGAGAGTGAGATAGAGAGTGTGGGGGAGTTGAGATAAGCGTAAGTGGAGCAAGTGGTGCATTGGCACTCGACGTTGACATGTCCGACACATGTTGCGGCTGAGGCCCCTCAAGGATGTGTTCCTCTCAAGTTGGAAGTTTATGTGCGCTTGTGGGTAGGTATATGTCCGCTAAGCTCAGCAGCGCATTTGTATAAGTTTATGTGTGCTTGTCACAACCACAACCAACCACAACTGACCCACTGAAAGCCAAAAGGTTTATGGTCCAAAAGTCAAAGGCAATGTTGGTCACGGACACAACCGAGTTAAAGATGGTTGCATTTAATTAAAATGATTACAAAGTTTATGTCTCCTTATGTTATATCTGTACTTAATAGTTATGCGACTCAGGCAATTTGCCCAGATGTAAAATCAGTAGAAATCTTTCTGTACATCTTCCAGCTTGAAAAGATTGTGATTTGCTCTGTACATCAATTTTATATTTCAAAATAATGAAATTAAAATTGAAAATATGTTATAGAAGTTTATGATTCTTTAAAAGAAAATGTACTTTGATATATTAGTTATTAAATATATTTTTATTTATATATTTATTTAAATTGTGAAATCTTTTCATTGTTATAAAACTAAATTAGAACAAAAAATCACTTCTGATATTATGTATCTTTCCAAAATGTATTAGTCCTCATCAGTTCTCATTAGAGACTCGGTGTTGGAAAAAAACAGAAGTTGATTTTCTACTTACCGTAACGTCGCATACCGGAAAGAAGGCCACGCCACCCATTTAAAGATTTAGTTAATTTCTTAATATTTTGAATTTCATTTTATTCATTATTCCATTCGCTGGTTGACCTTAGTATAGTATGTCATTGCTCGCTTAGTAGCCTTTACATAGTTACTACCATTATTTATGTTTTTTCTTTTTTCTTTTTTAATTTTTCAGCTTTTACTGTTCCATTCTCTGCGCTCCATTTCAATTTCAATCTCAATCTTATCATTCTTTTTGGCTAACTGGGCTACATGTATATATATATTATATATATAAATTTAGTAATAAATTTATATATATATATATAAATAATGTTTATATATATATATGTATTTTGGCATACACTTACATACACAAACATACATATCAATTATCAATTTAAATTGTAACTTAAGTTAAATAACAATCACATTTACTTATTCTGTTTTTTTTTTTGCTCAATGTTCTTTTTCTGTTTTCATTTGGCTCTTCATTTCTAATTTAAAAAAAAAAAGTGTCACTTGCCTATATTTGTTGTTCTATTCGGGGTTATATAAGTATATCATATCATATATAATTTATAAATCATATATGTATTTGTTTTTTTTTTTTGCTCAAGTGTCTGCAAACAAATTGTCAATAAAACAATTGGAAACAATCAAGTCAACAAAAAACTTAAAAATTATTCGTTCGTTCTTGAACCGTTCGATCGGAAACGATTTAAATAACTTGCTATATCCTTTGGGTATTGCATACATATATAATTCACTACTTGCTTAAAACACGTACCACTTGCAGTGCACGTATCTTCCATCGTTTTCATTTATATATATATTTAGTTATCATTAAATATTACACTATTTTTGTTGTTGTTGTTTTTTTTCTTTCTTTTTTGTTTTTGTGAAATCTTGACATTTAGTAATAAATTGGTTTTACGTCTATTTATTTTGAGATTTTTTTTTGCTGTTTTTCCCATTTTATTTTTTTGTATTGAATATTTCTTTATTTTTGGACATGTATTGGATTTTGATTTTCGGTAAGTATCCAAACATTTATAATAGTTATACATAGTACATCCATATATAGTTTGTGTTTTATTTTAAATCTGAAGTCCTCTGTTAATGTTGTTTATTTGTTTGTCGGTTGTAGTGTTTAAAAAAAGAAACTATTCTATATTTGCTAGTCGCTAGTGGTTCAAAGATTACACAAGTTTCACACGTATCGTAAATGTATATGTATGAAAAGTTCTTATATATTGTATAAATTGTTATTGTAAATTGTGTGTTGATTTGTTCTTTATAAATTTCGGCACATTTGATTACTTGTCACAAGAAAATAAATGTCAATGAAAATCGGTGTACGACTTGTTAATAAGTAAGTAAGATCGATGTCTATCTAGGCCAAAATTGTGTATTAGAGTCTTTTCTTAGTTCCTAGATGGAAAGCGTTGATCATTTAACTGTCCTGAAAAAATTCTGTTCAACGTCTGTTGTGCTTATTTAAAATGAGTTCACTGGCTTATTTGCTGTATAGTATTAATATATGTCGACACACTAAAGTTCAAATCTTCTATTTTATATGGCTACCAATTTTGACAGCAAACTAAATCGCACAGCACAATCAATTAAATGTTGAAATGATTTGGCAACAGTAGTGTGTAAACAATTGAAATGCATTAATCATGCGATCTGCTTTCATTTATTTTAGCATTTGAGGATTTTGATTTGGGTTTCTGCTTATTTGTAGCTTCTTATGTAAATAGACATTGAAATAGCAATTGGCTAACAGTGTCGTTAGCCGGAAAAAGACAAACTATTAATTATCATGTATATTTATATAATCGCTTTTCAATTGTTTTTAAATCTTATTATTATTTTTTTTTCGCGTATTTGTCGGTTTTGTTTTTATTATCAATATTTGAAAAATCAACAAACAGTTAAATGGAAAAATTGAAATTCTTTTGTTTTGCTATCGTATTATTTCGTTATTATTATTATGCTTCGTTATCATTTTTAACGATTCTTAGCCTAGCCTAAGCATCTGACACATGTCTGGAAGCGGGAAGTTGACTAATCCCGCTAGATGCTTTTACAAAAAAAAACCCCATGCTTTGACCGATCTCTAAATATCTTAAACTTTAGCGTATATATTGAGTACAATACCTTAAAAGAGCGTTACGGCATTGCCAATTTAATTTTTATTTCTTGGGCTCCTGCTGCTTCTTCTGTTCTTCTGTTTAACTGCCATTCACTGCGACCGCATGTATGCCATTGCTGAGACTGCCCGCACAGAGCGTGGAGGCTCCGGAGGCGACTGGCGATGCTGGTGGAGATGCGGGCGGCGTCAATGTTGACGGCTCCTCTCCCCCTCCATTGGTTGCAGCTGTGCCGCCTGGTGGGTGTTTCGAATTGGAGTTTGAGTTGGCAATACTGCCATTAATTTTGCCGTTCACATTTCCATAGGTTAGCTTTATAGCTGCGTTTGGCTCATTTCTAGCCGCAATCTGTATTTTCAGCTGTTCCTGCTGCTGCTGCTTCTCCTCCTCCTCCTCCTCCTCCTTCTGCTCTTGCTCTTGCTTGTCGCTGTGGTTGCCATTCTGAGCCTCGGTCAACGGTGGTGGCGGTGGTGGTGGCGGCAATGAATCTAATTGATTCGTTTCGATCAGCGTAAAATCGTTGAGCTCCTTTATCTCCTCATTGGAGGGTGGCGCAGGCAGACTCATCAAGCTATCGTAGGTGTTCTCTGGTTCCACCAGCATGGGTTGCTCCAGCTTCTCGGGCTGCTCTTCGTTGTGTACATCCAACTGTATTTTCTTCTCCTGCTCCTCCTCCTGCTCTTGCTCCAACGGTGACTGTTCCTTCTCGATTTCTTTATCAGTCTCAGCTTCTTCTTTACCCTCCACCACATTGGCATTTCCAAAAGCAGCAGGTGCCGGCAATGGCTGCTCCTCCGCCACCAACTGCTCCGACTGAGACTCTGACTTAAGCTGATCCTTCTGCTCCATATCAGTTGTTTCCTGGCCAACAAGCAGCTGCGAGTGGAGCACTAGAGGCGAGTTACCAGCATAGCCAGGCTGCTCGATGACATAGAGCTCCTGGTTGCCATAGGAGTAGCGTTTGTTCGAATCACTCGAAGATGTGGAGCTCAGATCCGACTGCGACAGCCCAGTTTGCGACATTATGGGCAGAGGCTCCTCATCAGGCTGTTCCTCCTCGATGAGCTGCAGTCCAACAGCTGCCACTGATCCGACTGTGCCGACAGGCAACGGATTGACAAAATCGCTGGGTGGAGCATGTATCTGCACCTGTTCATGGCCAGGTGGAAGGCTTCGCTCTTCAGTCACCGCCAGCTTGCTACTTGTATCGAAGGGCAGCTCAGTGATGTCTGTGCCGGCGGCGGGGCTATCGGGCAGCTGCTTGGAATCGATGCCACGTGCCACCTCCACCACAAAAACCCCATCCTTGTCGGTGTGCATTTTCGTCTCGCGTGCGTTGCGCGAAATGTCCTGCGGGTGTGTATGAGCACGAGAGAGAGAGAGAGAGAGAGACACAGAGAGAGATAAAACAGAGGAAAGGAGTGCGACAAATCAGGTACTAAGCGCCAGCTGGCGGAGTGCATTAATGACAATATATCAGGGACACAACAATCAATAAGCGGATGGCCAGGGGGAGGATTGGAGAGAATAAAAGGAGATTGCCACAAGAAGGCGGGAGACAAATCGAGAGGCTGTCATGGGAAGGATACCGAAAATTGCATTTGCATATACTTTGCTTATGGCACATTTACACCTCACACACACATACACAGAAAGTGAGAGTGAGGAAGAATGAAAGAGTGAGGGAGACATATAGATTTGGTAACTCGTCTGGTGCACAGGTGTTGCTGGGACTTGCACCGGATATCCTGTCGACTGCTTGACAAATAACTGACACTCGACCAGCACAATACGGCAGACTGGGCAGGACTCAAAGGACGGTAGACAAAAACCAGTGGGTGAGATAAGTGTGTGAGGGAGGGGAGGAGGACTTGCAGTTGCAATTGCAGTAATGCCGGACACAAATTACAAGAATCGATCAGAGTCATGTCAAGAAAGCCGGTAGCATAACAAGAATTTCAGTTCGACAGAGACGGGAACAGTTTGGGAATTGAAACTTTTATCTTCTGTCGTTAATCACTTTTCAATTTTATATTTATATATACATACATCAATCCATTTTTAATAATATATATAATAATATATTACAGCTACCGAATATTCAAGCTCAACGCTTCGCAAAAAAATTTAAAGTCCAAATGTAGATTCTAGATTTCAATATTATTTCACTCTCAATCATATTTTGATATTTTACATATGTTCAAAGTTTATCGATTGAGAAAAATTATACTTTCACCAGTCATCACAAGCTATGTCTATTTTCTAAAGAATGAATGGTTGAGAGAGACAGCTAATCGGCTAGTTAAATGCTTCAACAATCAAGATCCAAAGAGACATATAATCTGTATCAATCAGAAATTCCTTAAGAGTGAAAGAAATTATTATATGTTTCAAGTTACCATCTAAAGCACAACAATGAGAATTTTACAGGTTGAAAAAAAAAGACTGACAATTTCAACAATACGACAATAATCAATCCATCAATACTACAACAATAACACGAATAGACAGCGAGCGAGATAAAATTTTGATGCAAATATTGTGTAAATGAATGAATGTGATAGAGTGGGACAGAAAAGACAATTACAACATAATGAGCAAAAGAGACAACATACAGAGAGAGACAGGGAGGCAAAGAGTAAACATAGTACAGTTATAGAGACACACACCCTTGAAGAGCTAATATGATTCATAAACATAGATGAATCAACAATGAATCAAGTAAAACTTGTATATGGAATCAAAGTATTAATTATTCGAGCTTTTCGCGAAGTAGAAAATCCTGAGTTATCTAAATAACTATATTTATAAGCTAGATTAAGAGGACTAAATAGGTTGACTTTTAATGTAAGTACAGTAAGCTATACGAATTAAATATTTTAATTGGATGACACACTAACTATACAGATTAATATTTAAGTGTGCTTACTTTAAGCTTAAGCCAATGCCAATAAGTAAGCACTTAGCTAGTTCCGTGAACTAGTTTAGTGAATCTGAACAACTAGCTTAGAGGGTGTGTATCTTTATTTAATTTATGCGATTGCGGTGTGCGAAAAAGAGACGACAACTAGACAACAACAGGCAAGACAAAACTAGAAATCGAGACGCTTAACAGGACCTGTTAGTTAACATATGTTAACATTGCGGACTTACATGGCGCTCTTCGGTGACAACAATCAGATGATTATCTTTGAGCGTCATCTTTGTGACGGAACCACTAAATGCAAAGGCGCCCCCACCAGAAGTGGGCGTGAGAGTATCAATTGAGTTGGGTGTCTGGATATCGGGTCGAGCCTCAAACTGAAACTCGATGCGTTGTACGCCACTGGCTAAGGCCAGCGACATGGAACGGATCAGGGCTGCATTTGGGTTTGGATCTGGATTCGGATTCGGATAAAGATTCGCCTTTGGATTGTCCATCTGCGATGATGGCGTCGCGGAGGATGCGACCGAACAGCAGGACGATGACTGTAAGTAACCAGAGTGCACAGGACTTATGTTTAGTGTAATTACAGCAGCTGAGAATGATCGCACAACCAAAGTCAAACTTGCGGCAGTCTATAAACTCAGCAAAAAATATATTTTATAAATAGTTAGAAACGAGAACTATATCTTTAATTGCAAAATAAAATAACAAAATTTCATTCTATTTTATGCAAATATAGGTTCCAAGTATTCTACGTTTTTTTATATTTTTTCCAAATTATTGAAAGGAAGCATCTAAATATTTCAAGTGAGGGATGACATTTCTATACACAATAACACATTTTGAATGTTGATTAGGCGATTTTTCTGTCCAAAAATGTATCACGTAGAATTGAAAATGATTTTTAATCAACAAAATAATAGTTTGAGTGCGATTGCCTAACTTTTTGTGCATAGCTTGTTCTGAGTCTAGCTCTCGCCAATATTTAATTAATTTGTGCTGATGAAATTATACGCTTTACGCAACACATTTGCATTGTTCAAGTACTTGAGAAAGGCGATGGGCGGAGCAAAAGTCCTTGTTATTGTAGATGCGCCGCGGTTGACCTAACAACAAAAGTTTTCGAAGCTTGACGGCATTCGTCTCCAAAATTCAAATTGAAGTTATTGTTGCGTTTCTTCATTCAACTATTACTTTATCATTTACTTATGATTCATCATGATCAACATCATTATCATCCGCATCAACTAGTATTCGTTTGGCTTATTCTTCATCATCTAATTGAGTACTTACCTCATTCTTGGAGTCCGGGCCCTGACCCTGCTCGCTGTCATCGCCAGTGGCATTTGAATTCGCATTCTTATTCAGCAAATAACTGCAAAGAGATGGAAACAGAGACAGAAATGGAAAGAACATATATATATGTATATATAGGTTACTGAGTGAGTTGGCAACATTGTCAAATCCCATGCATTTCAAGTGTAGAAAATTCACAAATTTGTTGCCTGCTTTGCGGTGCAATCATAAATGTTTACCCTCTTGCATATCTATGCCACCAAAAGAGAAAAGTAAGCAGCAAGAATTTGCTTACTTGGTGGCGTAATGTAATTGTTTATGAAAAATGTTGAGCTGTGAGAAATATATTGCCTTCATTTGTAGTTTATGTCATGAAAAGAGTGACTTAGTCAGAAAAATATTTATGGATATTTAGTTTTATATTTAGGATAGATGGAGAAACACAGTGAAGAGGGATCAATTGGGCTGAGAGTAATCTACAAAATTATAGAAACTCTTCGGATGCTCTCACAAGAGCGTTACACACACAGAGAGAGAGAGAGATAGTGAGTAGGAAAGAGAGAAGGAGAGACAGAAGCTACGTTTTTTTACTTGAATTGAGTGCATCCTATTCTAAGCAAAGTTATTTTAAACGATAGCTCAGGACACTGTAGATGTAAGTGCCAAGTAAACACATTTATCAAGGTATGTTGCATATGATAAATAGAAAAGTGGTTCAGCTGCCCAAACCCTCGTCCCACACTGGAGGGACCTTGGCATTTCACTTTCGTTTTTAATGCGTTTCTTTCCACAAACATTTGTACAAATTGTCGCACGCACAACACACAACATACAAAAAAACACAAACACATACGCACAACTAATTTCTCGTCTCGACAGTTTATTGTGCAATTTCCTTTTTAGCTTCCAGCTAACACATACGCACTTCACCAACCCCCAACCCTCCCTCCTCACACACATACACTTTCTACTCTTGTGTGTGACCGCAACGACAAAAAAAAAACCAACAAAAAAATAAAAATAAGAACAAAAAAAAAGGAGGCAGACAAAATTTATTTCCGTTGCGCATTTGTCGACTTTCTTCTGCGGCCGCCGTCGTGTGGCACCTTTTTGTGGCAAGCAAACTGCCAACTGCCAACTGGCAACTGGCAACTGCTGCTGGCGATTGCCATTTTGACGTTTTATGCGTTTCATTCCGGCCTCCTACACATCATGCAACACGGCAGCAACGCCTTGTTAGCTCCACTGCCACTTGCCTTCATCTTCATCATCTTCACTTGCCTCTCTCTCTCCCTCTCTCTCTCTCTCTCGCTGTCTCTTTCTGTCTCCTTGCACGCAGTTCGTCGCTCTGTCTTTTGGATGGGTGGCAACTTCCGCTTCCGGCAGCGTCTGTCGACGCGCCCGTCGTTGATTTGTGGCGCCTTTAGATTTTCGGGGGCACCTTTCATCTTGCTGTTACTGCCTGCCTGCCAGCGCCTCAGCCCAGTTGCTGTTCTTGTTTACCACCCAACCACCCCTTGTCGACTTTCAGTGTGGCGTTCATTTTGTTTGGCATTTAGTGCCCGCATATAAAAGCAACGGCAACAAATTCCCATTTATGTGGCATGCTCGAGATTTATGTGTATCGGTGGAGGCTGAACTGCAGAGAAAAGATGGCTAGGGCGACGGCGAGGGGCGGCAGAGGAGGGAGGTATGTTACTCTATTGCCTGAAAGGATGTTGCTGCTGACATTGCGTCACATCACTGCCCCTCCCGCTCTCTGTCTCTCTCTTTCTCTCTCTCTATCTCTCTCTCTTCTCATATGCTGTCTGACTCTCAGATTTGCTCACACGTTTGCCGCTGGCATTGCGAGAAATAAAATGCCAGAATGAAGCTGATAAATGCGACTTGGCACGCCCCCCGCACCAATAGCTCCCAAGTGTATTATGCGTATGTCTCTGCAATGTGTCCATGTCTGTGTGTGTGTGTGTTTGCACTTTTATCCCGTTACTCGGGTTGTGGGCGTACATTCAGGTAACCCTTTTGCCACTTGGCAACTGACAGCAGCTGCTGCTCCTCCACCCCTTCGAAAATGCCAAAAATTCAATACACTAGCTAAGCCATATGGTAATCTGTGTTGCTCAACTTTTCACAAGCAAAAATAAACTTCTTTAGGAAAAATTATCAATAGAAAGTAAAAATATTTTTATTTTAAATAACAACTACAAGAAAAGAATGTAGAAGTGTTAATTGCTTTTAAATTGCCATATGCCTTAGATATTTCCAGAACAATCAAATATAGACAATTTTTATTTTTCCATCAAAATTATTCCTAAAGATTTTTTCTTAAAAAAAAAACGATTTTTTTCTCTTAGTAGAAAGGGGCCAACCAGTTTTTATTGGCGAATGTTTGCTAATTTCCAATTGTCTGACAACTTTTATCAGAACGGTTCGTTTTGGTTACAATTGAATTGAAAATCTATTTATATTTATATTTTTCTATTTATCAGTTTGAATAGGTCGAAGATATCTGCTTAAATGCACCTCACATCATGTGGCAAATGCAGGGATATAGCAAATGCTGGTTAAGGGGAGACTGCTGTTGGTGTATTTTTTATATTCCACTCTCATTACAGCTTCCGTTGAATGCTCTGTCTGACTGCTTATTGCTTATTCCAATTACGCAGCAGCTGCCAGCTCTCGTCGCTGCTGCTGGTCTGTGGAAAGTTTCAACATCATTGGACAGTCGCAATTATTTTTAATTTCAAGGACATTGCATTTGGGCTGATTAAGCACTCAACTAGGCAGAACCCTCGGGGAACAGAGAGAAAGAGAGAGAGAGAACTCTGCAGCAAACCCATAAAACACTCTAAGGGATTGTTTTTTGCATTGGCTTAAAGCATACAATTAATGCGCATTGAGAGAAAAGCTCAATCATAATATCCAGTAATACATGCAAGATTTTAGACTGATTTAAAATGTTCTTAGACTCAAGGTATCTTTTCCACGCAACCCTTTCACTTACCGTACTGCACAGTACATAGACGTTAGAAGCGCAGCGGGCAGAATGACAATAATTAGGCCCATGGAGACGGCAAATAGATTTAGATAACCTGTGAATCGAAAGAAATCAGCAGTGAAAGGAAGAAATTTAATTTACAAGTTACGAAAAAAGTGCGTCAGCTGCGACTTACCATCATACTCGGCCAATGAATCCTCCGAAAGTGGTGTGGCATTGACCATGCGCTCCGGCAACTGGTTGCGCAACAATGGCGCCATTGCAGATGTATCACCCACATTCAATCCAGGCTTGAGACTCTCGTTGCGCTGCTGCAGTGTGGCATTGAGTAGCTCTGCGACCGGCAGCTGTTCGCGGTGCAGATGACTGTATCCGTGATTGAGCGATTGGCGATAAAGACCATGTTTTGCCTGTTGCTGATTTTCATCCTGTTGCTGCTGCTTCTGACGATGTGCTGGACTCTCAAAGGGATAGGAGCCCTCGACACCATCAAAGCCACCACCGGCGCCATCGTCAATCAGATCGCCACCATATTGAATGGAGCTTTCAAGGACGTCCGGATCGCTGCCCATGCCAAGACCATTGCTATCAATATCATTCTCATAGATGCTGCGACCCTGACCCATCAGCTCGCCGGGCATGTAGTCAATCTCCTTAAGCTCAATCTGTGGGGGTAACTCGCCAATAACCGGAACTCCTATGGCCAAATCGGGCAGCACCGCCGGCTGTATGATAATGTCCGGCAGTTGCGAGCTAGCCAATATAAGTGGCGGCGAATGAGTGGAACTGCCAGTCGATGGCAACGATTGCTGTTCTACCTCGATGACCGACTCACCCACATATGTCACATCTAGCGGTGGTGCATCGTCACCGTTGCTAATACCACCGCTCGGACGTAGGATTTTCATTGCATCGGCACTGTGGTGCAGCGGTGATAGAATGATATCCTCTTGCTGCTGTTGCTGCTGCTGCTGCTGCTGCTGTTCCTGCTCCAACATGTAGCTGGCGGGAAAGAATTGATTCTCAAACTGAATCTTACGTTGCTGCTGCTGTTCGGTATTAATGGCGCTGCTGGTCGTGGGCAGAGATTCGCCAACCTTTACCTCCGTGTTGGAGATGTAGAAAATGGTGTCGGAGTCGCGATCGATGCTCGGTTTGCGTGGCATTGGTGGTGGTGGTGGTGGTGGCGGTGGACGTGGCAAGCCACCTTTAGTATCCGCCATAAACAACTCGTCGGCAGCATCTTGTGGGGGACGCACCGCTGGTGGTCGCGCATCTGAACGATACGGATAGTTAAACATGGAATTCAGATTCATGTGCTCGGCGCTGGCACTAAAGGAGTTCTCGGTGTTGTTGTCACCGGCGCCATTGTCAATGATCTCCACAACGAGTATCTCATCGTTGGGGTTATTAGATTTCCGCTCACTGGCCGGTGGCTGGCGATAAGAGAACTCCAGATCCTCGCTCTCATTGCCGAAGGCCTCGGAGACATTGATGTGAATCTCAATGGCTGCCGGCTCTGGCTTGCCCAAAGCATTTCCAGCTGCCGGCTGTGTGGAGACATCTGCGCGATCGATTACATATTGAGTAAAGCGCTCCTGGACTACCGGTGAACTAGGCGGCTTGGTGGTGCCTACTCCCGGCTCCAGCGGCATCAGATAATAGCCCGAGTTGTCACGGAAATTGGTCGAAGCGACTATCGAATCAACCGTGGAGTCGTAGACCTCGATTTGTATATCCGAGATCTTTGATTCGGTGCGCGGTGGTGCAGCCAGCACCACTGAACCCGCAACGCTAATCTCTGCCGCCGCCATAGGCAGGCGCGTGGTGCTGACCTGAACTTCGGGCACCTGGAAAACTGTTGTCGACAGCACAGACTGTGGCTGCACTGGTGGTGCAGCTGGCAGCAGTGTGGTTGTTCGAGTAGTGCCCGGACCCAACGAGCTGGTCTCCACATTTAATTCAAGTAGCGCCGTTGGCGCCAGAATCTCCACAATACGTCCTTGTCGCAGCTGCTGCTCAATGGAGTCCTCAGGCGACGGTTGCTGGTTGGGCGCCAGTGGTTTCTTTAGCGGATGCACCACACTAAATGTTTTTTCGCCCATAAAAATGGGACCCAAATAGCCATTTGGTACAGGCAACAATTCGGTTGGTTGACTGCTGGCCAGATTGCTGCTGGTGGTGGTTTCAATTTTTGTTGTTGCTGCTGTGGTTGTTGTTGCTGCGGTGCTGGCTGCTGCTTTTGGATATTGTTGCTGTTGTAACTGCTTCTTTTTGGTTAACTTACGGCCATCGTGGCCATTGTTGAGTGGTGGTGCGACTGTACCTTCCAAGTCTAGCAGCTGCACCACAGACTCCAATCTGTGCGGTAAGTGGCTCAAATGCAAAGTGTTGCTGCTGTCGCCAGGAGTTTCTGTTGCCGCAGTTGATATGGTTGCCACTTTATTGGCTGGCAAAGCGGTGGTGCGTGTTTCTGCATTGGCTGGTGCTGCTGTGGTTGTTGCAGCTGTTGCAGCGGCTTCTGTAGTTGTTGTTGTTGGCACTATTTTGACAGGCAATACGGTGGTGCTTAGTTCTGGCGTCTGGTCGCTGGTATCATTGACAACAGCAACTGTTGCTGCTGTTGTTCCTGCTGTTGTTGCTGCTGTTGTCGTTGTAGTTGCAGTTGTTGTCGTTATGGAATGCTGCTGCTGTTGCTGCTGTTGTTTTGTTGTTACAATCAATTTGGGCATATCGCCCTCAACGCCAATCTGTAGCTGGTGTGTTGCTGGTGCTGTTGCTGTTACTGTTGCTGGTGCTGCTTGCGCCTGGCCAGTACTGTTGCTGTTGGCCACCAGCAGCAGCAATATGATCAACAGGGCAACAACTGGCTGTCTCCTCCTTGCAATAGCTGCCATTTTGCGGTTGTTGTGCGGCTCTATTGCTGTTGCTGTTAGTCGCTGCTGTTTTCTGAATATTTAGATTATATTTTTTGTGTCCGCACTGTGCTTTTCCTTTTTTCTTTATTAAATTAAGCAAGAATTACTGCAACTATTGCTGTTGTTGCCTTTGGCACTTAATTTCCCCTTTTGCACTGCGTGTTGCTGTTGCCGTTGCTGTTACTGTTCTTACTGCGGTTGCTATTACTGGAACTATTACTGTTACTGTTGCTATTGGCACTTGGCATTGTCGTGTAGCACTTCAGGCTGCTCGGCATCTTCGTCTTCATCTTCATGAACATCAGCAATCCGCGCAGCCGTCGCAGCTGTCGCCGCTTTCATTCATTCACTCAGTTGCTGCTGCCGTTGCCGTTGCCGTTGCTGTGGTTGTTGCTGATGTTGTAATTGTTGCTGTTTTTGCTGCTATTGCTGCCGCTGTTACTGCGGCCATTTTCTGCGGCTATAGTGCCGCAGCTCTGCTTTTGTACTGCGCTGCGGCAGCTGCTGTTGCTGCGGTCGCTGCGGTTATCGTTGCTGCTGCTACTGCTGCTGCTTTTGCTGGCTGTTGCTGTTGCCGGCGGGCGTCTTTTTCTTTGTTGGCACACAAATTCAAAGATACAAATAAAAATATATATGTAAAAATTAAGGCATAGAATACAACAGGCAAAATGCTCTGCTGCTTTTAGCACTCAGCGCGACGCGTTCCGCTGTCTTTCTTCTGTCTTCCTGCTGTTTCCTGTTACTTCTTGTTATTCTCCTTCCTTTTATCGCTCTGCCTTCAATTTTGTGTACTTGGCTGCGGTTTTTTTTCGGTTCTCGCCTTTTCTTTGCTCTCCCAATGAGTTCTGCTCGAGTGGAAATAAAATTTAAAATAACGAAATATGCTTCAATAACAAGAAAGTTGCTGCTGATGTTGCCGTTGGTGTTGCAATTGCTGTTGCTTCTGTTGTCGATGAGCTAGCAATGCAATAAAAAGCAATGCAATGCAACGCAAAAGTGTGCAATGAAAAAGAGACGACACAAGCACAAAGCGAACGCAGTAACAAGATAAAAATAACGACCATAAATAATGCTGGAATGCTGGCCAGCTAGTTCAGCTCGGTATTCCAGAGACTGATTTCGTCTCAAAAACTCTTATTACATTAATGAAGCACTCGCTTAGCAAGCGAACTGAAATAATAAAGATCAGAATTGTGAAAAGAATTAATTTTTGAAATACTTTTAATAATTGGAGAAAGTAAACATTTCATGTGTATTCAAAACTAATAACTAACGCCCCAATTCCAGTCCCGCTAATATCTCATTTTAATATTTTCTCATTATACACATCATACTGGTATTCACTTCATTCATAGTAAATAATGGAACTAAAAACTATTCAGTAAGTGCATCAATTCATCAATCAATTCAATCAACAGATCCTTTTCGACTTATGCATATTTAATAAATGGCATAATCTGAAAAGTACTTTTCTAGGCAAAACTTCCCATAGTATGGTACTATTGGGAACACTCAATAAAAATATGTCTCATTGTGTGAATTACAGATGAGTGGGAGCGATGTGATAAGAGTATTGTGTGGGTGTTTCAGTGACGTGTGAAGGCATTTTATAAAAGACGACAATCGAGAAAACCGAATGAAAATGAAAACAAAACACAAAATATGCCATTGAAATACCAATTTTCAAACAACATCACCACCAACACCCCTTCACTTCTACCACACCTCCTTTCAGCCAAGGGCAACTTGTCGAAATTGTGAACATTTTTCGTTTTGTTCTTGTTGTTGAATGTTGTTCGAGGGGTGGCGGAGTAGGAGGGGCACTCCTTATAGCTTTTGTCTTTGGTATTTTTGTCTTCGGTTGTAAGCCCAAAAATGCCATGCAAATTAAATAAAAGCCTACAAAATGATTCGATTTGAACTTTAGCAAAGAACCAAGCGAGAGGGTCAAAAAGGTTTCACTACACTCTACTCACCCACTGCCCCACCCTGCCAGCATCCCTTTCTGCTTACCTCGTCGCCGCTATTCATGTAGCCGCAAGCAAAAGGTTGCGGCTAACTGTTTACATTTCCACCAGTTGGCCAGCTGTTCGGCTGCCTCTCTCCACTTCTCCACCTTTCCATCCCTCCATCTTTCTCCCATCTCATCATTGGCAAACTTAGTGCGGCTATCAGCATCGTTATCAGGGTTTGAGTACTTACTAACAACAAGCTCCAACCCAACCAAAGCCAAACCAACCCAACACAACCCACCGCAATGGCCGCAAATAGCAGCTGCTCTTTCATAACACTTTTCATCTCTTGGCCATTGGCACTACCGCAAAATCAACTTCAAAGCAATGGCAACAGCAACAGCAACAACAGAAATAATTATAATAGCAGCAAATGCACATAATGATTACTTTCGGGCATCACATTTTGAATACTCTGTTCTTTGATATTTTATATTATTATTACAAATTAATTTATAATCATTTTTAATTTCATATTTAAAAGAAACTAATGATGGGGAAAATATATTTGACACTCATTAAAATATCTCTAAACTGATTAGTTCGATTTGCTGTTAGTGTCTACTGTATTAATTTATGGTATTTTCGATATCACTAAAATCAAAACAGATATCAAATGTGATCAAATTATTATTATTACTGTATTAGGAAGTCACAAATTAAGAATGTTGGAACAAAGTATCGTGCAGTCGAAAAATGCCGACAGCTGCCGTTGAATATTTTCTGTAATTTTTCCTCAATTTCTAATATTATTTATTTATTTAATTGATTTCTTACCGGCTGCAAGCCTGTTTTCTGTTTCTGTTTCTGATTTTGGGGGAGCCTCTCTTTGCTCTTCACTCTTTATCCATCACTCTCTACTCTTGACTGTTTACTGTTTAGTTGGGCGCTTCTGTTTCTTTTTTTTTGTGTAGTGGGCCTCGCAAGGTAATCCAAGGGTCCTTGCAAAGACCCGTTTAATCTCACAGCGTGCCAATCACAATCACTCAGTTCACAATTGTTTTGCTCAGCACTACAATAACAATAACAATAACAGTAACAAGAACAACAACAAAAAAATACAAATGGGCTTAGACTTTGCTTTCGGCCAGGGTCAAAACAGCACGCGACACGCCCGGCATTTAAAGCCAGAAACTAACACAGAGACGCGAAGCACTCACCAACAACAACAACAACAGCAACAGCAATGTAGTCGAAGCAGCAAGAAGCATAAAACGCGCCAAATTTACAAAAATTGCAAAAATCAAATTAAAAACATTTTAATTATTTGAAAATTTGATTTTTGAAATTTTTAAAAATAAATTATTTATTATAATTTGTTTGCGGCAGCGTTTTTAGTCTTGCATGGATTATGGGATGTTAGGTATAGGTGTGGTGGGGTAGGGCAGGCTAGTGGGATAGGGTAGTGCGGCAGGGTTGTTGTTGTAGTTGTAGTTGGAAATTTATCTCACGGCTGATTTGGTATCCTTGGCTGGTGCCGCTGTTGCGTCCTTTAGCTCTGAATACCGCACGCAAACTGCGCAAATATTCTCGCATCCTTTGGTCTAAAAGGACAAGGATTCACCGCCGTCGACGCCGCAGTCTGCGTTCGCCGATTTACCGTATTGCCGATTCAAAGCAGCTGTTCCAACAGCGACACTGCGTATCTGCTTAAGCATCGACCGCAGCGGCGCACTAGCAGTGTGATTGGTGTCTTGGCTAAGCCTATAGCTGCCAGACTGTTGGCATCGCTTGTGATTTCCCTGCAATTGTTGCTCATATGCCTGCTCAAAAACGCAGCTGAATCAAGTAATCACATATTATTAATTTAATACATGCTTTTGATTGTCAATACTTGCAGTTGCTTTGTGCTCATGCAAATTGATTGACAGTCTGGCAACATCATCTTTATGGAATGATGTTGGGACTTCCAGTCTACACGCCTCATAGTGGGGAGAGCTGTGTGGTGAAAAACTGTCAGCATTGAGCTTTTGCTGCGCAGCTTCGGGTACTGGCTTAGTCAAGTTTCGCACCTCTCAATGTCAAAGAGCTTTTTTTATGCAAAATATGAAGAATTGGGGAAATCAATATTATACAGATAATGAAGGTGTTCTGATTTCCATAATAGCAACACATCATGTTACTATATTAGGTATAGTTCTCGACTCTGTAAATCATATTGTATGGCAAATTCATTAAGTAACATTCCACAGATATCTACACGATATAATCTGGATATTAAAAAGTTCTTCACAACGAAGAAAGTTATAAAAAAAAAGTAAATTGAAATACGTTATTTTATACAAACATAAGCTTGATCATAGTTCGCTGATAATGTGTGTAAACCTAAAATAGTTGGTTTTGTTTCAACTTGTCATAACTTTCCACTTCATTCACTCTTTCATTCCAGCTTTGGCATCAGCTGTCATTTAACATCATTCAGGTAATGGAATCGGTTTATGTTTATATATAAGTATTTGCCAAATTCCACATTCAATACCGTTGTTCGGTCACTGGCATTGCCGTCTTCTACCTTGCAACAGCTACAACAATACATATCTCTCCCTCTCTCTCTCTATCTATCTATATATCTATTGTTGCGTATATCTTCTGTCCGACTGTCATTCATTCTGTCTGATCCGCTTGATCCATTTGATAATGCAGTGCGCACCATAATTCCCATAAATATTTCGCCTTTGGATTATGTAAACCTCTTTTTGGCCGCTTTGCTTCATTCCAACACATTGCCAGAGTATACAAATGTCTTTGTTGTTGTTGTTGTTGATGGTTGTCGTTGTTGTTGTTCTACGCTGTGGAATTCGAAGCACTCCCAAAACACCAGCAACGAGCAACGAGCAACAACAACAACAACTGTCGCCAATGGCAACGTTTCAATTTGCACCACCTTCTGCTCGCTGCTGCCTGCTGCCTGCTGGCCTCTTCTTCTTCTCCTTCTTATTGCTGGTGGGTGATAGACACTGCGCCGCAGCAATTTGGCAAATGGTTAGCAACGCATTTGCACCGCCTCCACACCACCTCCGCATTACTTGTGGCGCATGCATTAAATTTGCCAGCTTAATTGAGTTTTGGCATTTTTTTATTATTGAAATACTTGCTACATTAGACGGCAAATAATAAAAAAAAAAACAAAGCCAGCAAAAATGCCGAGTGACCTCAAAGCTAATTCATTTGATTCAATTCATATCACTTGATATATTTTATTATTTAATGTTTTTTTTTTTTTGTTTTTTGGGCTTTTGTTTTTGATTTCGATTTTGGCACAACGCTTTCTTCTGCAGCCGCCGTTAGATGGTCTAAAGAAGTCGAGGCCGATCGCATTTATAGAGCGTAATGAACAACAACTCTTTGGTATGCCGTTAAAATACAGCTTCATACACTCAAATCTAAACAGTTTCCATTACAGAGTCAAAATTCGAATTAGAAACGATGATAAGTCGGAGCACCAGAAACTAGCGACTGAGACAAGGTTATTGGTTACAACACCTAAACAATATAGCCATAGACGATCACAAGCCATGACACTAAAAACAAAAGCAATATTATTATTTTAATTTAATGCTTTCAGAATAATTAACTACATATTCGTGTATCAATACGAGTATTTTTGCACAATATCACTTAGGATTTTCGACATTTTTCAGCATAAAGGATATTTCTCAATCTTGTCAATTACTTTGATATAACTTAACTGAAAATCAGACAGACATTCCAAACATATACTGAGATGCATTTTAGGATGTGGGCTAAAAGCAAATTGTCTGTTGGTTAAAACTCATAGCCAGAGGTTTGACTGAGACAGAGACTGAGACTGAGGCACAAACCACAGGGTCTGCGATTGTTTAAAACTTGGCTTTAAGCGTCGTTGTTTAGTCACACACCCCCCACCGATCGCCGATTACCAATCACCGGAGCCGACGCTGGCCGCACTAAAGAAATGCCAAAACAACAACAACAACAAAAATAGCTATACTGATCCAACGAACGTGCGACGTGCGGCGTCGTCGATCAGACATTTGCCGTTGTCAGCTGAACTGTGCCTCAAACTGCGGCTGCGTAACGGATCATTTTAATTTGAACTGCGCCGCAGCACACTTGACGCACAGCATTGGCCGAGCTCCAATCTCAAATTGTGTACACTTCAAAAAATCAGTCGAGTTCAAGCGGTATCCGAAAGTTTCTGTAAAAGAACAATTTGTTTTTAAATATTCAGAGTTTAGTATAAATTCATCCCGATTTGAATATCGTAAGATGAGAACAATCTTTCTCCGCTCATCCGGAAACAGTCTTAGATTTAGAGGACTTAAATAAGACTTTTGTTCTCGGGTCAATGGCTTGCGATCTTGACTGGATTCAAGTACAACATTTACCCCTTTCTTTTTCAAGTGTAGACGCCTTGGCCAAACCCATCGCATGACAGGCAGAAAAGCCCCGCGGCAGCTCACTTGCACGCCGGGGCGACACGTTGACAACTGGCATCGATTTATGCGAAAGATTTTCCATGCGATTTTCAACCCCATCGACCCCCCCCCCATCCCCCTTCCCCCCGCTCCCTCCTTTACCGACCCGTACCCCTGCAATATGCAGCTGCGCGTGCCTGCCATACGAATAAGAGGCACAAAGCGAATCCGTTTTGGCCAAATTCTCTCTCCATTTGCCAGTCAGCAAATCGATAGGCAATTGAAACCGAAACGGTAAACATCGCCCGCAGAAATGACTGGCGATCGATAAGCCAAGCGTTGAAGCCACAGTCAAAGCCAAAGTCACTGGCTGTGCCGTTGTCAAGGCTCATCCATCAGCATTTGTTTAGGCCATGATATAAAGCCAATATACTCACATCAGCCGCTAGCAAATGGCAATTGGCCAACCGAAGCGTCGCCCCATCTCTCATGGCCTGCCACAAATGCTAAATGCTATAGGCTTTTAAGAATTCTCGAGCATAGCACAGATGAGCAATCATCCACTCAGCTCCGCTTGACTAGCTGGGTCAAACAACTGCTGCTGGGGACTACAGATGCATCAGCATCTCTCATCGCATGTTAAGCCAGATCATTGGTTACTCAAAATACCATCGAATTCACAACTTCTTTGTCAAACATTTAAGGATATTGATCAAAGACAGAGCAAGAGAGGTAGGCAGGGAGAGTTAAGGCTTGTTAAGAATTTAATAACTTATAGAAATATGCAGACATCAAATAACTGCAACATGAACTACAGGCTCAACATCTTCACGGTCATTAACAGTCTTTTGAAGGTAATAGGTTCTAGGCTTAATAGTATTCAAGAGATGCTTATGCATATATATTTGAAAACATTTGAAGTGGAATCCTTAAGGATGTTTCCCAAAAAAAAAGAATCATTAGAACTGAATCTCACCAATGAGCTGATTACGAACTGGACAGATGCTACGATTTTTACAAATTTTCCTCATATTTTATAAGCCATTTTCATCTTCATAAATTGCTCTTTATTTTTGCTTGCTTTCTTTTACTCTTTCGCAGAATTCTGTTTTGCCAATCAACTCCTTGGCTTCAGATTTATTATTATTATTATTTATATCATGTATGATTATATTCTTTTCGTTTCACGCTTTTATTACATTTGAATAAGATTGTTAGTTTCATAGATCGGGTTAGTTCAGCCATTTTTACCAATAGTTTATATTTCAAAAATCACATCAAAGAAACGTGTGAAAAATTCGATGGGGATCGTTAGCATTTAGTTTTATGGCATATTTATGCATGAGATGGTATGGGTGGGGTGTGGTGCGGTGGGGTATATGTTTATGGCATATCCGATAAGAAACTTTCGCATTTTTGGGATTTTTCAATACGCAACAACTGAATCATTTGTTTGTTAGGCTGTTTGTTGTTGTTGTTTTTGGTTGTTTTGATGTTGTGGCTCAATAAAGTTTATGACTTAGCATCGGAGTTGCCGATAACTCGCTGACAGGGCGGCCCACCTCAAATGGGGGCGTGGCAGTCGAGCTGGTTGACTGTTGATTGAATCATCGCTTAGCAAAGCGGCGTCCATTTCACTTTCATTTCTTCTTCTCCTTCTTCGTCATCGTTGCTGTCGCTGTTCAATTTCTTTTCATGGGCAGCCCCGCATTGAGCTTCAGTTGCCACGCCCCTCGTTTCACTTTCTTTTGACTCATCCTCCTCGAGATGTCGCCGCCGCTGCTTCTTCTTTACGAGCTGATTTACGTGGGTGACGATTGCAGCATCGCTGGCAGCAGATAGACTCTCAGAGAGAGTGAGAGAGAGAGAGAGAGAGAGAGAGAGAGTGAAAGAAAGAGAGTGATAGAGAGCCCCATTGTAAGACAATGCCAATGCTCTGTGCAAGCCTTCTTGTCTTTGTGTTCGATTTCGTCATCTGGCAGTTGTTGCTTCACTCCCCTACTCCCGTGGCACCACTTCAACCCGCTTCCCGCTTAGCACTCATCACACACACACACACACACACACAATTAATGTGCATTATTGTCGCCTTAGCCGACTAGAGAA